GGAGAGAACGCCGGGAGCAAAGGCCCCCCCCAGCCGAAACGCACACGCAGCCGCACACGCACACACACACACACACACGCACGCACAGTTTTCCCAGGGGGGATCTTTCCAGCCTTTGCCTTCCTTTCCCGGAGTGCTCAGAAGGAAAAGGCGAGCAGCGGCGCCGGAGAGGTGAACGGCACCGCACGGGTGACGGGAACGGCTTTGTACACATCACGCTAAAAATAATCGGGTCCCCTCCACCCCCCCGGGATAAAGTCAGCGGCGGGGGGAGGGAGGAGGCGCGGGCAGCGCGCGGATGCTGGCCAGGTCTGCCAGCGGTTCGGGAGCCCACACATTAAGGCTGGAGCCTCGTTGAGCCTTAATTAAGAGCTGGTAATTTGCTCCGAGCAGCGGCGGTGTGGGGATTAAAGCAGCGGGCAGTTTGGGAAATGGGGATGGAGAGGAGGGGGGGTTTCCCAGGGCACGTTACACCCCCTTCCTTTTGGGATGGCTGCTTGGGGAGCCCGGGAAATGGGAAGCAGCGAGGGAGGGAGCGTCGCAGCTGGAATTGCGGTGGGAGCAGATGGGCGCTCTGGTTTCCTTCGAAGGGAGCCCGAGTTTTTATTCGCGGAGAAGAGGAAGGCTCTGGGAGGATGGAGGAGAAGGCAGGCAGGGGCTGGGATACGGGGGTGATGCTCAGGAGGAGCCCCCGATGGAGAAGGGAGGGATGAGAAGGTGCCGGAGAGGAGATGCTCCGGCCAGGGTGACCTCGGGGTGGGGGGGAAGGTCGGCAAGGTGATGGCTGGGGAAGGCAGAGCAAAGACTTTCCGAGATGCTCCTTTTCACCTCCTGAAGCTTCTGCACACCGCGGCAACGGCAGTCCCCAGCCCGGCCAGCGGATCCCTTGAGCCGGTTGGGGGATGCTGAGCTCCAGTCCGAGCCGGGATGGCGCCCAGCGGTGCAGAAGGGAGAGGGAAGGAGGGCTGCCAGACCCGGAGGTTGGATTTTTTCGGGAGCTCTTTTTTTTTTGGGTTTTTCTTCAACCCCGTGTCTCTGTGCTCCTCGCAGGCCGCGTGGCGAAGGCGCGGGGAGAGGCAAGGTCCGTTGGGGCAGCGCTGGCCTCGACCGCAGCAGAAATAACTCCCGATGCTGATTCACCCCACGAACTGGAGGCAGGATGGGAGCTGACACAACCGGGCCCGGTGCCGATCTCCTCGGCGCCAACGGCAGGAGGAGGAGGAG